CTGAAAGCGAATAGTGCAATTACAAGGACTAACGACAAATACTAATAGCTTTGGTAGAGAAGATCGGACAGATTTCGCCAAGGCAAGCTGGGCAGTCGCCTATTGCTCCTATTCCAGATAACCCACTGTACCCTGTCTGAAAGGAAGTAACGCTAGAGTAGACTCGCGAAAAGTGTATAAGACACTTTTAAGATCAACTAAATAGCTAAGCCCAAGGGAAGTCGTTCGGGGAGGCCCTCCCTAATTCCACAAGGGTGAGAAGAGAAAAGAACACGATAACGAAACGTTGAATCATGTAGAACTCGTAGGGTAAATGCAAAGCAATTAGGAAGAATATGCAGTAAGCTAAGCGAAGAGGTAAGCAAGATACATGTTAGACAAATACTACTAAAAAAATGAACATGTTAATACTAGTACTACCAAAAACAATAAATCATTACTAAAAAATAAAAACTACTCAAAAAATAAAAACATCTACAATCAAAAATTAATTTAATAAAACAAACTACAGAAAACGTGCAAAATAAAAAATTAATTCAACTAAAAAGCATGCATAGTAGAAAACTATTTCAAGTATGGGGTCTTCTTTGTCTTCTCCACTGTCGATCTGAAACAGATACGGTGGTAACAGATTAATAAAGAGCAATTAAATAACTTATATCAAATATTCTCACCTTAATTAACCACAGTAAGTAACGTTCTAAAGTCTGCAGGTCTGAGCAAACTACATCTAACAAGAATACCATTGCAGAAAATTTCTTGTTTCAGTGGTTTCAAAATTAATCACCAGTTGCCTCCCCCTCACATAATGCATAATGTTTCAAGGCAAAAAGTCAATGCATCAGCTGTTTCAGTAGCATTTTAACTGCAATTCCTTCTCATTTGTTGGACAACCTATATAAAAAAAAGGACAAGAAAAAGGAATTAATTACTACTTTTATAGCAAATAAATCAGTAACATTTTAAAGTGAAAGTATGGTGGTAAAAACAGGCGACAGGTAAAACAATAGATACATAAGGTAACATTCATTAACAATAAATTAACAGTTGTTGTTTTAAAAATTTCTATATTCAATGCTTCTCTTCCTGAATCATCTGACCCCCATATTAAAATAAAATATACATATATTTTGTTTTAAACTAACTTTCATACTGATGAAAAGGTCAGTTCTACAATAATTGTGCTTCTACTGTTTCTGAAACATTGTTTATAGCCTTCTTAGTAAATGACATGCATAATGCAGTGTTAAAGTAATGCCCAATTCCCTCCTCTCCTACTAATACTTAGAAGCATGTATGCTCACCTTAATTAACTACTAGATTCTCCTAGATGAAAAAATAACAGCTAGTTGACAACTTGTTTTCTGTAGCATCTAAATGAACTTGAAATTGATTTGCAATCCAATGTCGATGATGATGTTCCTGTTAAATAAATTGTTACATTAGACAATTATCATATAACTAATTTAGTTTCCATAGTACAGAATGTAATAACAGAATGTAAAACAGTGATGTTGAGTACCTCAAAAAGTCTTAATTGCAAAGGTACCAAAAGAGAAACTTACATATAGATAAGACTCAACAACTAGTATGGACTTTATTATTTTAATTTAATAGTTTAATTAGGGCATCAAGTCTTACCTTAATGATGTACAAAATGTTTTCACATGGAGAAAAGAGCAAATGAACTGTAGCAAGAACATTGTCATCATACACCATACATTTAGCGATACTTAATAGTCCAAATAATCTTCAATATGCTTTAAATAATAAATCAATCTGTAAAAGAGAAGAAAATAAAACTAATTAGCTGCACTATTAAAAAACAATACATGAAAATTAAAGGGTAATTATTAGCAAACAAAACTATGTAAAATTGCAAATTGCAAAATGGCGACGTAGCGTCAGCCTGAATATAGGCACAGACATGTCACAGATACATAGCAAAACAAATAGATACACAATTTTCCATTGAGCAAGAAAAAAATGAATATTGGATACGTTCAGAAACATTAATCAATCAATAAAAAAAAAATTGTAGTTCAAATTCAAACTTCAAAATTCTAGTTAGATTAAATATACTAATATGAGAATGATTGTTTGATTTCCTGACATATTTCTAATTAATTCAATATAAATGTGTTAGTTTGTTAAATTAAATTCTGAAGCCTCATGCAGTACAATTATTGTAATACGTAGTCGCTTATAAATTCATAATTTGTTAAAATCAAATTTACAATAAAAAATTATGATGTGAATTACTAAAGAAGCGTCTTTTCTATGTCGCTGAATTATTGTTTTATTGGCAAATACATTACAATCGATGTTACTAATTTTTACTGTTTTTCTTCTAATCCCATACACGTTATGAACAATGAACATAATTAATGATTAAACTGTTTCCTACACATCACGGTTGCATTAAAAACGTACACATTAACGAAATAAACTTTAGACTGTTAGGCACGTTAGATTTTAGGGATGTTGTCCTGAAGTGATAAGATTGAAGAAGGTTTTCGGGGTGCTACTCAGAAATGCATTAATAATTCGTAGGCTAGCATATAATTTTATACTAAAAATCCTCCTACATAAAAATACGTTCGTTCTTTTAACAAAATTCTGAAAAATAAAAAATTGTTTGCGGGCATTAGCTTTACAAAATATCCACGAGACGTACGACCATCCTTTGAACCTCTTCATTAGTGGATCATCGAGGTCATTAATTAAAACGAGAAAACAAACATACCGGCAAGATCGCCCTCCTATTTTTCATAATGTCATAATTATGTAGCAATTTTTTCTTCTCTCAAACATCTATATTAGGTGTCGCTCCAGGCGTTATACCTTATCTTTTTTAACGAACAATCCGATAACATCGGCAAGCACCGCTATAACATTTATTATGTAATATAAATGTGGTCTTACGGCATAGAAAAGAGGGAACCCATTCTCGTTCTCTTTTATGGTGCCTTCAGCGAACGTCTTCAACCACCCACATTGTCTATGCAAGTTTACAACTAAATCTTATAATATGCCACTATGGACCTTTTTGTCATTATTTAACTAGGAAATATTAGGTTTTCGGGCTCTCATTTATTTCTTCGTTATACATTCTTTATGAGCTGACATANCTTTCATTTTGCATATTAAATTTGACTGTTAAGACGGCAGATAATGTTTTTACAGAAAGTTGCGACTTCTCACTGCTCCAATAATCATTCCCTAGTGAAAATACCCTTTCAACAGCAGCATTAGTGCTTCGAAATTTGTATTAAAACTTTTAAATTTTCACGTGGGATATGTTCTACTCTAAAATGCCGAAAGATTTTTACCCATCTTTTATCAAGTTTTATATATTTTCTCATCTTTTTTTCTTTACTCTTCGAATTTCTTCAAAGAGAAAATTGTCATTAATAACAATATATTTTACCAATACAAATGAGTATAAAATTATACAAATGAGTACTTTCAGAGTACAGAATTTGAAAAGAGTACGCTTTGCGAAAAAAGAGTACAAAACTCAGTAAATGAGTATAGTTGGCCACCTTATCTAATATTATATGTCACTAACTAGACCTTCTCAGGCACAGGTCTAGTCAGAGACATATTAGAGACAGAAACGGAAGTTACGAGGGGTAGAGGTAGACCTAGACTAGATTACTGTTCGTAGACAGTTAAAGATGTGGTTTGTTCTAGTTTTAGGGAAATGCGAAGATTAGCTCAGGAAAGAGTGGAGGTACGTGTCCAATCAGTCTTAGGACTGACGACCTTAAGATGATGAACTAGTCCTTCATGTCCGAGGTATCCTACGAACATAACTCCTATTACTTATTGATTTTCATAAAACCTTATGTTCTCTTAGGGGCTATGCATAAAATGCAGAATTTCACATTTTTAGGTCAATCCCTCCCTCTTAGTCAGGTTAACTTACACTTTTAGTGACCCCCTAACAAACATTACGTCACAAAAAGCTAAAAAACGATTTCTTATGATTAAATTTAGAAATGGGAATTACTTGCTATAGGCATGAAACAAAATAAAATAAGATTGATGAACTTCGAACGCCACTCCCCTTCCATTTTGTCATATCTCGTCACACTAACAATACCCTTCCTTCCACTTTGTGAAGGTATTTTATGAATAGCTCTCTATTTTTTCTAATATTTCCTCAATCCTAACCTTTTCTATCAAATGGAATTTATAACATTTCTACACTTTTAGTTTCCAAATTATTCAATCTTGATTACAAAAGTGATTTCTTTTTGTTAAATACCACCCGACCCTGCGCTATTCTTTGTTTTACATGTCCAGCGCCTTTTCCACCCTGAATTATCTGATTATTGAAAATCAGAGACTTCTAGTTTATCGGTCTAATTTTATAATAATATTTTCCCTGTGAAATCCCTCCTATTTCATGTTTTTAAAATATTTCTTGTAGGTACAACAACGCTAGAAGAGAAAAAGATAAATGAATTAGCCAAAAGGAGTGATTATTGCAGAAGATAGTATGCAGAATTTAGTGATGCTTACGGATTTTGAGTGCGGTGTTAAAAAATCTTTTTACGAAAAAGCGCTCGTACAATTACGAAGAGAAAAAGATAAATGAATTAGCCAAAAGGAGTGATTATTGCAGAAGATGGTACGTAGAATTTAATGGCACCAACAGATTTTGGGTGCATTTTCAAATAAAGGTTCTAAAGCGCTACAACAGGTTCAAATAATAAGTATAACATACACGAAAATGCGCTCGTAAAATTTCGACGAGATGAAAACAACTAAATTAGCCAAAACGAGTGATTATTGTATAAAAAAGTACGTAGAATTGGGTGGTGCGAATGTATTTTAGGCGCGTATTCAAATAAAGGCTCTACGGAGTCATAAATTTTCAAAATAAAGAAAAAACAGCACAAAAAACGGTCATAAAACTACGACGGGAAGAAGATAACTAAATTAGCTAAATTGAGTGATTATTGTATAAAAAAGTACTTAGAATTTAGTAGTACCAAGAGATTTTAGTTGCGTTTTCAAATAAAGGTTTTGAAGGGTTGTAACTAGTTTAAATAATACCAAGACCAAATGAAACTAACTAAAATCAGTTAAAACGAGGGATTATTATATAAAAAAAGTACGTAAAATTAGATTGAAATCTAAGGTGCAGTTTTAGGTAGTTACGAATTTATGATTAGAAGGCTTCTTCTTGCTGATGTCAAGTAAAAATACCAATAAATAATAAATTATTTGGCGGTTTCATTTAATTTATTTTTAACCATAGAACTGAATTTTCTGGAGATGGTTATAAGGTAGATAAGGGGGTAGGTAAATACTAGCCACCCACACAGTTGATCCACATTAAATGTAGACATCAGTTGGACCCTCACTGCGCGCATCCGAAGGGTGGCAATAGAAAATGCAGCCACAATTACTTAAAGTAACAAAGAAGCATTCTTACTCTTTGTTCAACTGTTGAGCTCGTGTGGAGAAAGAAACAAATAAATAATGCGCACTAGTTATTTGCGATTGATTTCAGTGTGATAAGGGCACACGCCAGCTGTTTAATTTTATTGATGACTAACATGTCAACTGGAAATTCTTCTTATGTTTTCATGTATGTATAAATTTCGAAGCAGTACCGAAAACGCAAAAGTGGACCTTGGTGGTCTAAAAACAATTAGATTGCCTTTGTTCAGGCTTTGATATTTTGGTCAGTTTACAAACGACTGACAGATTTTATTTAAGATATAGTGGTAAATGCCATCTGGGTCTGACACAGTATTGTCTCAGAAAGAGATAAGTACTTGAAAGTATTTTAAATTTTCAATGCAACGATAAAGTAATACGTATAATTTTCATAATGTTCTTCTTCTAATATAAGGTGACCAACTATTTTTGTTCAAAAAGAGTACACTTTGCAAGTGAAAAAAAAAATAAGTGAAAACGTTAAAAACATTATTTTCTTTTAAAAACATATTTTTCTTCGGAGTGGATTTTTTTGCTAAATGAGGATGCTCGTCTAATAATGTAGCCACATTCGAACAACTTTCATTTTGCATATTAAATTTGACTGTTAAGACGGCAGATAATGTTTTTACAGAAAGTTGCGACTTCTCACTGCTCCAATAATCATTCCCTAGTGAAAATACCCTTTCAACAGCAGCATTAGTGCCTGGACAACATAAGGAAATTTCTATTAAAACNTTTGAAAAGAGTACGCTTTGCGAAAAAAGAGTACAAAACTCAGTAAATGAGTATAGTTGGCCACCTTATCTAATATTATATGTCACTAACTAGACCTTCTCAGGCACAGGTCTAGTCAGAGACATATTAGAGACAGAAACGGAAGTTACGAGGGGTAGAGGTAGACCTAGACTAGATTACTGTTCGTAGACAGTTAAAGATGTGGTTTGTTCTAGTTTTAGGGAAATGCGAAGATTAGCTCAGGAAAGAGTGGAGGTACGTGTCCAATCAGTCTTAGGACTGACGACCTTAAGATGATGAACTAGTCCTTCATGTCCGAGGTATCCTACGAACATAACTCCTATTACTTATTGATTTTCATAAAACCTTATGTTCTCTTAGGGGCTATGCATAAAATGCAGAATTTCACATTTTTAGGTCAATCCCTCCCTCTTAGTCAGGTTAACTTACACTTTTAGTGACCCCCTAACAAACATTACGTCACAAAAAGCTAAAAAACGATTTCTTATGATTAAATTTAGAAATGGGAATTACTTGCTATAGGCATGAAACAAAATAAAATAAGATTGATGAACTTCGAACGCCACTCCCCTTCCATTTTGTCATATCTCGTCACACTAACAATACCCTTCCTTCCACTTTGTGAAGGTATTTTATGAATAGCTCTCTATTTTTTCTAATATTTCCTCAATCCAAATGAAACTAACTAAAATCAGTTAAAACGAGGGATTATTATATAAAAAAAGTACGTAAAATTCGGTGGTGCAAATATATTTTGGGTGAGTCATCAAATAAAGGCTCTACGGAGTCATAAATTTTTTAAATTAAAAAAACTGCACGAAAAAGCGCTCGTAAAATTACAACGGGAAGGAGAGCTAAATTAGCCAAAAGAAGTGATTGCTGTATAAAAAATACGTAGAATTTAATAGTACCATAAGATTTTAGGTACGTTTTCAAATATATGCTCTAAGGGGTTGTACCTAGTTTAAATGATAAGTATTACATCCGCAAAAAGCTTTAAAAAAATTACGATCAGATGAAATTAATTAAATTAGCCAAAAGGAAGTATTATTGTATAGAAAAGTAGCAGAATTTGGTGGTGCGAATATATTTTGGGTGCGTCTTCAAACAAAGGCTCTACGGAGTCATAAATTTTTAAAATAATAAAAAAATCCCTGTGCGAAAAAGCGCTCGTAAAATTCCGACGAGTAGGAGATAACTAAATTAGCCAAAATGAGTGTTTATCATATAAAAAGGTACGTAGAATTCAGTAGTACCAAGAGATTTTAAAAGGTTCTAAAGAGTTATAACATCAGGATCAAATAATAAGTATAACATACACGAAAATGAGCTCGTAAAATTAAGATAAAAATAACTAAGTTAGCGAAAACGAGTGATTGTTGTATAAAAAAAGTACGTAAAATTAGATTGAAATCTAAGGTGCAGTTTTAGGTAGTTACGAATTTATGATTAGAAGGCTTCTTCTTGCTGATGTCAAGTAAAAATACCAATAAATAATAAATTATTTGGCGGTTTCATTTAATTTATTTTTAACCATAGAACTGACTTTTCTGGAGATGGTTATAAGGTAGATAAGGGGGTAGGTAAATACTAGCCACCCACACAGTTGATCCACATTAAATGTAGACATCAGTTGGACCCTCACTGCGCGCATCCGAAGGGTGGCAATAGAAAATGCAGCCACAATTACTTAAAGTAACAAAGAAGCATTCTTACTCTTTGTTCAACTGTTGAGCTCGTGTGGAGAAAGAAACAAATAAATAATGCGCACTAGTTATTTGCGATTGATTTCAGTGTGATAAGGGCACACGCCAGCTGTTTAATTTTATTGATGACTAACATGTCAACTGGAAATTCTTCTTATGTTTTCATGTATGTATAAATTTCGAAGCAGTACCGAAAACGCAAAAGTGGACCTTGGTGGTCTAAAAACAATTAGATTGCCTTTGTTCAGGCTTTGATATTTTGGTCAGTTTACAAACGACTGACAGATTTTATTTAAGATATAGTGGTAAATGCCATCTGGGTCTGACACAGTATTGTCTCAGAAAGAGATAAGTACTTGAAAGTATTTTAAATTTTCAATGCAACGATAAAGTAATACGTATAATTTTCATAATGTTCTTTTTCTAATATAAGGTGACCAACTATTTTTGTTCANATGTAGCCACATCCGAACAACTTTCAATTTGCATATTAAATTTGACTGTTAAGACGGCAGATAATGTTTTTACAGAAAGTTGCGACTTCTCACTGCTCCAATAATCATTCCCTAGTGAAAATACCCTTTCAACAGCAGCATTAGTGCTTCGAAATTTGTATTAAAACTTTTAAATTTTCACGTGGGATATGTTCTACTCTAAAATGCCGAAAGATTTTTACCCATCTTTTATCAAGTTTTATATATTTTCTCATCTTTTTTTCTTTACTCTTCGAATTTCTTCAAAGAGAAAATTGTCATTAATAACAATATATTTTACCAATACAAATGAGTATAAAATTATACAAATGAGTACTTTCAGAGTACAGAATTTGAAAAGAGTACGCTTTGCGAAAAAAGAGTACAAAACTCAGTAAATGAGTATAGTTGGCCACCTTATCTAATATTATATGTCACTAACTAGACCTTCTCAGGCACAGGTCTAGTCAGAGACATATTAGAGACAGAAACGGAAGTTACGAGGGGTAGAGGTAGACCTAGACTAGATTACTGTTCGTAGACAGTTAAAGATGTGGTTTGTTCTAGTTTTAGGGAAATGCGAAGATTAGCTCAGGAAAGAGTGGAGGTACGTGTCCAATCAGTCTTAGGACTGACGACCTTAAGATGATGAACTAGTCCTTCATGTCCGAGGTATCCTACGAACATAACTCCTATTACTTATTGATTTTCATAAAACCTTATGTTCTCTTAGGGGCTATGCATAAAATGCAGAATTTCACATTTTTAGGTCAATCCCTCCCTCTTAGTCAGGTTAACTTACACTTTTAGTGACCCCCTAACAAACATTACGTCACAAAAAGCTAAAAAACGATTTCTTATGATTAAATTTAGAAATGGGAATTACTTGCTATAGGCATGAAACAAAATAAAATAAGATTGATGAACTTCGAACGCCACTCCCCTTCCATTTTGTCATATCTCGTCACACTAACAATACCCTTCCTTCCACTTTGTGAAGGTATTTTATGAATAGCTCTCTATTTTTTCTAATATTTCCTCAATCCTAACCTTTTCTATCAAATGGAATTTATAACATTTCTACACTTTTAGTTTCCAAATTATTCAATCTTGATTACAAAAGTGATTTCTTTTTGTTAAATACCACCCGACCCTGCGCTATTCTTTGTTTTACATGTCCAGCGCCTTTTCCACCCTGAATTATCTGATTATTGAAAATCAGAGACTTCTAGTTTATCGGTCTAATTTTATAATAATATTTTCCCTGTGAAATCCCTCCTATTTCATGTTTTTAAAATATTTCTTGTAGGTACAACAACGCTAGACCACCTTAATAGAATTGTGCCCTGTGGAATAATAGAAAACCACAATACCACCGCAATCTTTTCATTTACACCGGTCATTACAGCCGTATTTGTATACTTTGAGCCATTGTCAGACATTCAATAGCTGCATATATCTGTTTTGTATTTATGTTTTGTGTTTAGGAGGCGTTTGGTTTCTTATATTGACGATTTTCAATAACACGACGTGTAACTGTAGATATACCTATACGATGATGTCCATTTTATGGCATATCTTTATTCTTTTTGCCAAACGCATTGGCTTTTATATGTACATTTAAAAAATGTATACAGTGGAATTCGTTTATTGTGACTCCGCCTACATTGACCAACCGCTTAATATGAAGTAATTGCAGTGTTAAGTTTGGTTTTTATATTAAATTCTCTATAGGAAAGTTTGGATATAATCACTCCGTTTAAATTGACATATCGTTTATTATGACTGATTCTCAAGAAATCATATCCGGCTATAGTGACCCAAATGGTTAATAATAACTTTTTCGCTCATTTTTCTGACCCTTATGTATATTGATATTACAGTTCATCGTTCTTTTTCTTTTTCTGTTAATAAATATATAGGAAAGTTTGGATATAATAACTCCGTTTAAAATGACATATCGTTTATTATGACTGATTCTCAAGAAATCATATCCGGCTATAGTGACCCAAATGATTAGTAATAACATTTTCGCTCATTTTTCTGACCCTTCTTACGTATATTGATATTACAATTCATCGTTCTTTTTCTTTTTCTGTTAATAAATATATACAATTTGTAGTTTTTCTCTCNACCACTTAAGCTTAATTGTACCTAATTAGATAGTATGGACTAATCGTACATCATAATTATTTTAATTGCAGCTACATCTACCCTTTTGTACAATAAAATTTATATTTATTTACATTCTACGTAAAAATATTGACTAGATAACATTAGAAATCAATTGAAGCAAGTCTTATTAAATATAAACACAGCATAGGACTGAAGGCACTGATTTCTTAAATTACGATATTTTCGTAGATCCTAAAAAAAAAAGAAAAATAATATAATTTTTCAAGTATTCAACGTGAAAAATTAAGTTTTTTGAAGAAATTCTTACACAAAACAAATTTATTAATTATCACTACAATAATTATTTCTCTATATGGTAAAATAATAATATTATTTCTACCACCCGAAGAGCTACTCTGTGTTACGAAATAATTATTGTGGTGACAATTAATAAAAACGTTTTGTAACTTAAACATTGTCTTCATTTTCGTTATTGTACTTAATGATATTTTGGAGTTAAAAAGAAGAAAAATCACGCTAAAACTTCGAAATGACCATATGAGATTGTTTAATCATTGAAAAGTTGATAGTTTCTGATTGTTTAATGTGAGTATGGAAGAACTTTTCCAATGAAATAAAAATATTGTGATTTAAGTCGAAAAGTTTATGTTTTTAATTGACAAATATTAAATTCGTCAGATCGAAATCTGTGTTTAAAATTGAAGAAAAAGTTATCAATATTGACATGGCCCAGAAGGAAAAACTAAACACTGCAATAATCTCAGATAGTTCATCTCGAAGGACTTTGCATTATAGTAATTTTTCTTCTTTGAAAGCTTCTTCGAATTGTATATGCATATAGTTGAGGATGAATCACATATAGATAGGTTGGTAAAGAACGATTGAGATTAAAAATGAGGAAATGGTGACTGAAATGTGATATTAAAAATCTTACGTTGATAAGCGATCGCAGAGAAGGATACTGGGATACCTAATATAGGAAAAGCGTTTGAGATGATTTATATGAAGATACATTTTATTGCAACAGGAACGTTGAAAAAGCAGGTAAGAAGTCGGGATCAAAATCAAGGTCTATCTTAATGCAAAATCGTCTACAAAAGCCGAAGTGTAAAATGTACGGTACATTTTTCATAAAGAAAAGAATCGAGGATGTGGACCAGCCAGGCATTTATTTAGACCTGGGACTGAATAGCCTGCCGTTTCGCAGACAGTATTGTTCTGGACCAATTTCTTTATGCACGGGAACTTATTCTTAGGGTGCATTTCTTTTATGATCAATGCTGCTGATGCTGTTGCTGCCTTGATCTTAAGAAACCAGTCTTGCTTCTCTCCCTCTCAAATCCCTAATAAGAGATGTGCAACAGCAAAAAAATCCCCAAGACCGACGACCTATGAAAACATATACCAACTGACGTCGACTTCCTTATCAAAAGATTGCGTGTACCGAGAGGCTGAATAACGACTTGTTTATTTTTAGCTTAGGAGGCAGACTGAAGAATGTAGGACAACGAAAAGAAAAACCAGGACGACGGTTAAAACTTTTTTAAGCTCAAATCACTCTGATTCATTTGTAACTTTATTATTTTTAATTGATTGACATTACACTCCAATCAAGCTATTTTAATAAAAGAACAATCGTTTCTATTTTTTAAGCTGAAACATTTATAAAAACTTTAAAATGTATTATTATTTTGATATGTTCGAAGGATATTGGTTGCTTTTTTATGTTGTGCGTTCAGTTGTTTATAAATCACATTGAAGATAATTGTAATATTTCTGATATTATGATGAATTTCAAACCTCATTGGACCTTTTTATGATTACTGAATCATTTTTAATGACACTAATTGTATGTCATAAAAAATTGTAGTGACTGATTTTAGGACCATTTTAGTTGACGATAGATGTTGAAAGATTTATTTAGTTTTTACGCATATAAAATTCAATATTTATTAACAAAATGAATGCATTTTATTACTTTCTATACTTTAGGTATACAACTATCTATTAATTTTCTATTTTCTCATTTCGTTTGTAAATAATTCAAATGTCGTAATGATTGTTATGATATTCTGAACAGTAGATATAAGTTCATGTAGATCTGTTCTAGAATAAATTGCAAAGGGCAGGGTAATGCCCTAGCGCCTAACTAAATTATTGCCCAAAATTTCACAACATAGATTATTAAGACTAATGTTTCAGTTAACAGTAATTAAGTTTTATTACTTCAGCGTAGTTGAAGTCATGGGATTTGACGAAGCTTTAATTGTTCTTACGTATTACAACGAGATACCCGTAGTTGTTGCTTTCATACTTATAAGAAATGATATAGAAGTTCGGAATTCAGTAAAAGAAGTAAAGAAAAACGTAGAAAATTATAATTAAGAAGTTTTTCTAGTTTTTGTAAATAAAAAATGAAAAATATGTACGAATACGTTAGGTGGTATTCCTCTACAAGATTCTCTGAAATAAACATTAGCGAAGAAATCTAAAATATTGCACCTACATAAAGGAGGAAGGTATACAATGACGGGTTTCAGGAAAATGGGAACTTAGTAAGCCAGTAAGTAAGTACAGATACCCTGTTTACCTGTTGCTTTACTGATTGATTGTTAACGAATCATTAAAAACTGAACTTACCGAATCATCATTCGTGATGTTGCCAGGAGAAGATAGCGTCCAGTAACTCGTCGTCCTCTGGGCTATGAGGTTGAAAGTTTTCGCAATTTTCACTCAAGTACAAGTTATTGGCACTATAGCTGGAACTTTGTGACGGCGTGGGAGAGGAAGAATTCGACGGGGGCGATGATTTCAGCAGTACAGACTGCGAAGAATACGAATGCGAAGGACTGGACAAAAAGTCGCCATCGCAGTCGGGCATCTCCTGTTTGGCGATCTGATGCGCCGAGTCTTCTCCACTTTCACTTTCTTGCAGGAGTTGCTGGAGACTCCTGATGTACTGAACGGCTAATCGGAGAGTTTCCACTTTGCTCAGTTTCTTGCTCATTCCTCGGCCGGTGCTGTTTCCACCTCCGTGAGACAATACGTTGGACAGTATATTGTTGGGGATGTGAGACCTGAGGGCCGCGAAACCGTTATTTACTTGTTTTACGCGGTTCCTTTCGCGCGCGTTTCTTCTCGCAACCGAAGCCGATTGAAGCGATTGTACTTTCTTTTTGCCACACTGATAATCCGAGTTGCTAGTCGTATTGAGGGTAGCAGGGGCAGGCGCGAGGGCTCTTTTTACGTCCGTAACGGTTTTCATTGTCGGTTGGGCCGTGGTCGTGGACAATATCACGTAATTGTTGGACGCGTGCGAGAAAAACTCTTCCTGATGATGATTCAGAGCCATTTCTGATACTGGATGCATCTCAGTTTCTTTTTTTTTTTGGCGTACCTTATACTTTTCGATTTAAGTGTGGGAACCAAATACAGTTTTAAACTCCGGGACCACTTTCGGAATATTACCCATACCTCGTTACAGCCAACCGTCTTTTACCGATCCTATTTATCCCCTCCACCTTTTATATGTGTATGGTAGCGAATACGGCACCACAAGGGGTGCGAACGCTGCCGAATGTTGCTGGGAAGCACGTGCCGGCACCATGCCACGCATGGCAATATCTGTCGTATAGCGTACGTATATGGTACCTACGACCGTGGTACCTTTATTCACGTAGCATAAAGTTAGCGCCATACGTACCAACATACACATACATACGTGGGTACCTATATGTGTGACGGTATAACTTAAAAGCGGCGATGGTGCATTTGAAAAGGTAAACGTTGCAGCTGTTCCCATTTTCGAGGTCATTCTTCAGATGGAACAGCGACGGGTCGTACGGGGGATGAAAGATCACGAGGAGACGCTGTTTTCACATTCACTGTTAGACGCATTTCAAAATATCGTGAGCTTTCACATGCGCGAGAGGCGGTCATTATTGCATTCATATTATGAAAACATTGACTCAAACAATTGTAGAAGGTTCATCAGATTCTGAACTATCTCTACCACACAATTAGACTATAGCACCTAACATCTGTCATAAAATTGATGACACTTTACAAATGTATTACCCAAAGACTTTACGACAATGTCTCTGTTACTAACAAGAAAAAAAAGTCCTGATATTTTTATAAATTGGATGTTATTATATATACTATATTAGGTGCATCTATTATGTAATAAAAAAAAGGAATATGAAAAAAAAGCTAGTTACGAACAGAGCTTTCAAGAGCTTTTTCAGTTATATGTGATGCATTTGCTGTTATTAGTACCCATGTATCAGAAAAAGACCAGTTATTGATAACATGCTAAGACTGGTAGGACACGTACCTCCACTCCTTCCTATCCTTGAGATAATTTTCGCATTTCCCTAAAACTAGAACATTTCACATCCTTAATTATTTGCGAACAGTAATCTAATCTAGGTCTACCTCCACTCCTCTTAACTCCCGTTTCTGCCACTAATATGTCTCTGACTAGAACTTTATTTCTGAGAAGGTGCCCTATCAACCTATCTCGCCTACTTTTTATTGGCTTCCATAGAGTCTTCTTCTTTCTAATACCTCTTCATTTCTAACCTTCTCTGTTCACGTTATGCTCATCATTCACCTATAACACCACATTTCGAACGCTTCTAACCCTTTCTTTTCCGTCGCGGCTATCGTCCATGTTTGCACCCGTAAAGCGCCCCGCTCCAAACATACACCCCTAACAATCTTTTCCGAATTATATATATTAGTTTCTATGATTAATTTGAACGTTCTGTATATTGGAAATGTGATCTAACCTTAGATATGTACGCCCCTGGCGACTCTCCTGTTGCCGATAGAAACATAACGGAAACGAAAACATACCCCGATCCCCGATAATTTAGTTTATAGCATGAAATTCTGCAAGGAAATAAATGTAAAATGTCACACTTCATACTGAACAGGAAACGTTACAAATTCTACGCTACCTTAGCGATCATATTTCAAAACCTTTTTGTTGTTTTGTTTTCGGCGTTTTAGAATATTTTGAACTTTGTTAAATAAGAGTCGTCCACTATAAAGTAGTGAAAATCGGAACAAAATTAATTCAGCGGTACTTGCACTTTATGAAACTGATTTGTGCACAGATTGAGAAAGTTTTTTTTTTAATAGTTCAACGAAACAAATAACCATTTTTTTCCATTACTATAAATTCTCATTTCAAATAACTCTGGAATATAGATTAACTTTTTTTTTGGTCATTGATCCTGTTCCCTTTTTTGTTGTAAAATTTTAAATAAGTACCATTTTATCTGAAGTACTGAGATAAGCCCTTCATATCAGTGAAATGAATGAAGTCTAGCACGTGTCCCGTATATGAATGAGTATTATTGAGAATACATATTTGTTCGTTATCAAGAACGCGTTCTTCCGTTTATTTACTTGCTTTACTTAAACAGCTCTTTCCTGTGTTAACCTTGTTCAAAGGATCAATAAATAAACATTATGCAAAGTTATTTTCATTTACTTTTTTTGTTGTTGTATGTATCTATTATAGATTACGATTCAAGTAATCTGTACGTAATGAAAATGCAGGTGAGCAACAACTAATTCTACGAACTAAGTTTTAATTTGTTTTCCAGAATAAAGTGGGCAAATATATTACGTATTTCGTAACCCATGGGGTCCTTGTTGAAATTTTAACAAATACGCATTACATTGAGTATGAATCTACCTGTCGTAGCGAGCAGAAATTGTGCTAAAAAGAAACGTATTGCTACTCAAATCGCACAGATTTGAAGCCGATCAAGCTCAAGTCAACGGAGTTCGCAGTACTAGAAATCGCACATGGCTAAAACCGAGTACGCCAAGAGTATATACCGCGCGAGGCAGAAGCCTATTACATTCAATGCCGAACAAAGGAAGAGCCCTCACCGCGCGTAGCAGAAACCGCAAACATTCAATGCCGAGCAAAGTGTAAGTTCCCACTGCGCGCAGCAAAAATCGCAAACATTTAATGCCGAGCAAAGTAAAAGTTCCCACTGCGCGCAGCAGAAACCGCACAAATTAACTGCGAGCAAGGTAGGACTCTTAATCGCGTGCGGTAGAAGCTGTATACATTCAGTGCCGAGCAAAGTAAGAGCCCTCACCGCGCGTAGCAGAAACCGCAAACATTCAATGCCGAGCAAAGTGTAAGTTCCCACTGCGCGCAGCAGAAACCGCAAACATTCAATGCCGAGCAACGTGTAAGTTCCCACTGCGCGCAGCAGAAACCGCAAACATTCAATGCCGAGCAAAGTAAAAGTTCCCACTGCGCGCAGCAGAAACCGCACAAATTAACTGCGAACAAAGTAGGGCCCTTAATCGCGCGCGGTAGAAGCTGTATACATTCAGTACCGAGTTTTCACCTCGCGCAATAGAAACTTCTCACACTTGGTGCTGAGCAAACTCGGAATTTCTACTGCGTTCTCTTATCGTTAGTTAATTTTGAATGTTTCTAGGCGATTACTTGATATATTTATTTCGAGGAGCTTGCTCGTTGAGCTGTAAAATTGATAAGGGCATTATATATATATTATATTTAGTCGTTGACATGTACTATTATTGAACCTCTTTATGTGTGAAGTAAATTGAATCGATGGATGTTGGTCCTTATCAAGCCCTTATATGACAAATTTGTATGGTAGTGTTAGAACATAATGGTGCGGAGATAATTAAAATGTATCCGATTTAATAGACATTGCGTCTAAGTATTTTAACGATCGATCGTATTACAGAAACAATTTTACTTCCTTCCCAAAGTTTCTAATACGTAATTGATCTTGCTTTATCTTCAAGATCGGATCTTAATGAACGCCTACTTTGTAAGGTGCATACGATTAAGAAAATGGTCTGAAATTGTCTTAATTGGTCACTTAACACATACCCATAACGATTGACTCTTCATAATTATGGTCGGACCAATAAGGGATTATAATGTTATAGGCGTTACCTCTTGCATCAAACGTGTCTGAATAATAAATCGAATGAAATTAAACCAGTCGAAGTTAATATATAACTTTAGCACTCGAATTCCAATCCGGTGCTCGAATTCAATGCATAGTTCACGAAAACAAGAATTTTATTCTTGTTAAAAACAGTCTTAATTAACCAAATTATTTTCATTGACCATAAGTGATATTTTGGATTATTTATTAACTCGGAATTAATGTAAAAGTAGAATTCTAAACAGATTATATTGTTTTTGGATAAATTTTTGTTTAAAAAATACAATAACAGCGAATTGAAAAATCATAAATTTCCAATTGCCAAGTATTTCGGCGAATATTTAAGTGACATTGATGTCCGTTTTTATTTTAGGAATTATTCATATAAAAAGAGGATGCGTGGCTTTGGTGTCCCCGTTAATTGCCCGAAAATATGTACGTAGCAGAGCACACATAAATGGTCTCCAACTCGAATTTTTTCACTCGTTCGTTGCCATTGTGTATATGGCCAAAGGAGGTTATTTATGGAGTTAATAAGCTACACTTTTTCTTCTCTTCTTATTACATGTGGTTAATGGACAGCCAATTATTAACTTTATGATTTAAAGGCAATCGTTTTTGAAGTGATTTTTGAAGGAAGTGCGTTCGCTGTGACTGGAATAATTAATTTCGATCCAGATCGATATTATCGATCGCCAAGAATCGAAAATGCTTAAAAGTTTTATTTGTACGCAGGAATTCATTTGCCGTTTCGAGCGATAATAATTGTTTATAAGCAATCATTTAAACAACTTGTCAAACCCGTTCAATAAATTTGCCATAATTCTATAGTATTTGGATACAGAGATAAAAGAGTGATACATAGTTTGTAATAGGCATCGGTTGAAGGTTTAGACAGAGACATATTAGAGGCAGAAGCAGGAGTTAAGAAGAGTAGAGGTAGAACTAGATTAGATTCATCATCATCATCATAAGGTCATCAGTCCTAAGACTGGTTGGACACGTACCTCCACTCTTTCCTATCCTGAGCTAAACTTCGCATTTCCCTAAATCTAGAACAGCCCACATCCTTAACTATTTGCGAACAGTAATCTAATCTAGATTTACCTCTACCCCCCCTAACTCCTGTTTCTGCCTCTAATATGTCTCTGACTAGACCTTCATGCCTGAGGAGGTGTCCTACCAACCTATCTCGCCTATTTTTTATTGACTTCCATAGAGTCCTCTGTTCTCCTATTCTTTCCAATATCTCTTCATTTCTAACCTTTTCTTCCCACGATATTCTCATCATCCGCCTATAACACCACATTTCGAACGCTTCTAACCTTTTCTTTTCCGCCGCTCCTACTGTCCATGTTTCGCACCCGTACAACGCCGTGCTCCAAACATACACCTTTAACAACCTTTTTCGAATTTCTAAATTACTTCTTTTTATTAAAGGCGACACGACCCTGCGCTATCCTCTGCTTTATATCCCTAC